AAGTAAAAAGAGATTCTGGTTTTAGTGAATTATTGCGATCAGCGGAACAACTGTCCGCTGCCGTAGAAGGCAATGAAGAACTTCCACAAGTTGAAAGAAATCTTCGTCAAATTTTAGAGGCCTCCAACGAACTTTGGTCTCGTGTCACACAAACCGGCACCCAAGATAATCAAGTTCAAGCGTAAGCAAATTCGAAAATTGATCATACATTAAATTTTATACAGTTTTTATACGTTTTTTTTAAAATGTATATGTGTAATGAAAAGCATGTTCAGTCATTCATAATCTTATTTGAAGTATAACATAACCTACAAATCTTACAAATTTCTGGCGCCAAAACATAGTTACATAGTTGATGAAATTTTCGATAATAATTAGGATTATTCACTTTACTTCTTAATATATTAATATATTTTGTTTTCTTCGCGTATTTAGTTCTCTCGTTTAGAAATTGTTTTCTTGTATAGCAGAATAAAATTTTATTCTGGTTTGTTTTATTGATGTAATGTCAATTTTTGGTATAGCTCAAAATTAAGAGAGACAGTTTGTTTTAATTTTAGGCATCTCTTGCTTGGATCTCGTGGTGTTGATTTGCCTCAAATATCACAGAAGTTAAGTTCGCTTAGTGCAAGACGCACATTCGAACCCTTAGATCCAATTGCGGATACAGATATAGTCAGTTATCTTAGAAATGAAAAGGAAAATGCTATCTTATCCATCATCGAACAAGTTCATAAAGATGTAAGAGTTTTTATATTATCTTTTTATACAGTTGATAATTATTGTATATTAAGTTTATTGTTGTATGTTTTAGACGTTTGAACTTACCAGAATTCAACAAATGGAACATATGTTGGGAGAATGGAAACAAATGCGATATGAGATAATAAATAGTATGACAGGACCATCTGGGGATCTAGTAAATTTGAATGGAACTCCTCAGCGTACTAAGTTGGCTGGATCAATGGTCAGTGGTCTATCTAGCGTGGAAATAGCTTATGTTAAAGAGCTACAAAATTACAATGATCATGTACTTCGAGAAATAACTAGGCCAAATTTATTTAGTTCATTTGGTAAAGCTGCTGAGTCATTTAATGATAAGAAAATTGAGGATATGTGGGAAATGGTCCAGTATATGGTAAATATTACACCAATTCCTAGAGAAGATCGAATTAAATCCAGGAGTACTTCTATGATTGAGACAGAAATTGTAATGCAAGCCAAAAAATATTTGGAAAACAGATACAGGGACTTTATGAATTCTGTTATTAGTGAAAACTTGGCACGAGCAAAGAGGGGTGGCATTCCAGGCACTCTGCCATTAGTTAAAAGTTTTGTAAGCGTCAAAGTACAAAATTTTAGAGATTTAGAAGATGTTACAGTTGATGGCAAACCATTGTGGGCTTTAGTCTATTATTGTATGAGAGTTGGTAGTTACACATCAGCATTGCAGTGCCTTAATCAGTGCAATACAGAATTTCCAGAGTTTAAAGCTGCATTAGAAGAAGCTTGCAAAGATCTTCATGGACATCCTAGCAGCTATGCAGAATCAAATTTGAAACTGCAGTACAGAAAACACGTTAGATCAGTTACAGACCCATATAAAAGAGTGGCATATTGTGCATTAGTTCCTTGTGAACCTGATGATTTGCATTCCGAAGTAATTTGTACGGCCGATGATTATTTATGGCTAAAATTATGTCAAGTGAGAGACCAACCAGATTCAGAAAACAAGTTAACTTTAGATTATTTACAAACTACAATATCAGAGATATATGGTAAGAAATTTATGTTTTACATTTACAACAAATAATTAGAATTAAAGTAATCGATCATATAAATATTACAGGGGAATCTTATTATCACGCGCATGAACAGCCATTTGTATATTTTTCAATGCTATTTTTAACTGGTCAGTTCGAGGCTGCAATTGAATTTTTGGCAAGAGGCGCAGGAGCAAAGCATTTGCCACATGCAGTCCATTTAGCTGCTGCTATGCACGAACATAATTTTCTAGGAGTTAGTCAAAGCGTTTTAGCACCTCTGCTGAGCGTTGATCCTGCTGATAAACCACCTGCTAAAAGATTAAACTTTGCCAGATTAATATTGTTATATGTCAAAAGATTCGATTCTACAGATCCAAAAGAATGTTTGCATTATTTATTCTTATTAAGGTATGTATGAAGGAATAAGTAATTGTATAGGTTTAGAATTTTATTGTATCATTTCATGGTTTTAGGAGTATGAAAGATCCATATGATCGCAACATGTTTGCTGTATCGGCCGCAGAAATGGTTGTCGACGCTTCTCCAGCTAATAAAGTTCAGTTAGTTGGAAAGATAGATAAAAACCGTTGGGTTCCTGGAATTTTAGACCAATTTCAAATTGATACAGAAGATGTAGTTAATATTAGTGCAGATACATTATACAGGAAAGGTCTCCTAGAAGACGCTGTAACGATGTATGATCTCGCTGGTAATCACGAGAGGGTTCTTAGTTTAATGTGCATCCTTTTGGCACAAGTTGTTAGTCAAAGAGATTCACCTGGGTCGTTGAGATCTCGACTGCAAACTACAGCGAACGAACTAAGTACAAGGTAATATTATTACTCATTGTTGTTATTCAATATTAAATATCAGACTTGAATACATTTTTATCGAAATAACGAATAACGTTTCATTTAGATTTATTCTTGGGTCATATTAATTTTTATTTGTATAATCTAAATTATTCGAATAATGCGTAACTTTAATAAATATTTGCTTCTTTTAGGTATCAAGGTGTCGAATTACGAGCATCATCCGAATTAATATCCGCATTTCACACTTTAAAACATCTAATGGCGTTCTTCGATCAATTCCACAATGAACAGTATCAGAGTGCTCTTAGGGTAAGGAATACGAAATGAATATTATGTGTATTTAAATATTTGATGTTAATATTTTTTAATTCATATTTTAAACTGTTTCTAATATTAACTTTCTATTTCATTTTAGACTATCGCGGAATCTGAGCTGTTACCGTTACATGTAAAAGAAGTCGACGAAAGAGTGAATGCTTTGCGTCGCGTATCGCCTGAAGTAGCTGGTACATTAGCGGACGTTCTTCTGGCAACCATGACGATACTTTATCGCCAGTATCAAAAGTTGCGATCGATGGAACCAGGAGACGAAGAAGCAAGGAAGCAACAACTTCTCGATCTTCGTGAACAGGCACGCGCGTTGACGAGTTTCGCAGGAACGCTTCCGTATCGCATGCCAAACGAAACAAACAGTAAACTTGTTCAAATGGAAATTCTTATGTGTTAAGCATTATATTCATAGTGTTTCTTATCAATTTATTTTAGACATGGAACTTTAAATAATACATTGGGCGTGTTTGTGCAAGTACTGAATTCGCGAGATACAAAACCGATCAATGTCTTATTTCTTCAATGTCTAGAGTATTATCGATATAGTGTATATATTTTTTGTACTTCCGTAACTTAAACGCAAATTAAATTGTAAACATAATAAACGTATTGTCTTCTAACAGTTACTGTTGAAAATTATAAACGTCAATAATAAATATATAATTTATTCCTTAGATATACCCGATAGTTTGTTTTTATCTAGAATTTATATAGGTGAGCTTTGTATTTCATTCATATTATATACTTTGAGACATGTTACAGATATTCCAGAACTGAGATCTTGTACTTTTCCTTCCTTCACCTAAAATTATTACATCATTAATATTCATTTAAACTTTGTGAACATAGTTCAGTAATACTTACAGCTCTGTAATCAAGAAACATTTCTTTAAAAGCTACAAAGTCTGTGAATGTTGACAATACTTCAAAAACTTCACCTTCCAATTCAGTCTGTCTACTACTGCATTGTTTCATAATATCCAAGTAAAGAAAACATTTATTAAGTAATGTACACAAATGTTTTATACATATGTGTGAAATTGCGAAGCTTACCTTAAGAGTTGTAAGAATTTGTTTATATTAAAATGTGGTATGACTTTTTGTAAATAGTTAACTATGTAATTTTCCACAGCCTTATGCTATAAAAGGAGTTAGATATTAATATTTTTGCCTACAAATATGAATAAAAGGATCATTGTGTTATGGTACTTACATATTCGTTAAATATATCCGTGTAAATTAATTTGTTCTCTTCTATGGGTTCAAAAACATTCCAATACATGTCTAAAAATTTCTTTTGAATGGTGTTAAATTCTTCTTCTAAAAATACAATAGTTTATTCAAGTAAGAGAATTTTTGAAATACTATTCTTAATACATACCTAAAAGAATATCTTCTATGTGACCAATAATTTCATCAAAAAGATTATCTTCCCCATTTTTAGAACTCTGTCCCGAATTTCCGTCCGCATTTATTAAAAAATTATTATCTGTTAAACGATATCGAATTTGTATGTTTATTTACATATACTAAATTAATGAATTAACGTGCGTAAAGAAATGTAATGTGCGATTTGCAACAATGCAATAAACAAACCTATTCGTTCTCCAGACATAGTTTAATCTGATAACGAAAATAAGGCACTGTTTATATTTACGATATTATTTGTTAGGAACAGGGGGAACCATTGTTCATATCGATAGGTTAACAGTGGTTAGAAACGATAATCGAATTGAGATCACCAATCGCTATCGACAACGTTACTTTTAAATTTCTTATGACTATTTCACGTGTCGTACACTAGAGAATTAATTTAAAATCTGCTTGTAATGTTTCAAAAGAATTTTATGTCACGTATCGTTTTCGTATTACTATTTTATTCTATGAAATAACGTATATTCGAAGTAATAGTATAATAGATGTCGAATTTTTATTCACCTTGATTTCGATGCGAAGGCGGACGATCATCTGTTACTTTTTGACTGAAACTAACAAGAGTGAAACCTTGTGTCCTACTGTGTTCACTGTTATTGGGGTCTTTGGGCTTCAAATACTTCAAATTTATGCTGTTATTAGGAAGATTCTTACCTGAATGTTTTGTTGCGTATCTTCTCTTTGATTTGTGTTTCGAAATAATCTTGAAAGAAGAAATTAGTGGCTTTTCACTTTTTACGATTGTATAAGTTAAGTTAATATTTTAAGATTTCTTGCTTAATAAGTCCCATGTATCAATGGAGATTTATACTTTCGATAAGAGTCTTCAAGAAAGACTAATTGAATTAACTGAAATATTATCAAGCAGAGGTGAAATTGTACCTGCATCTCAAATTCAGGCAGAGTGGTCTTATCATGTAGAGCTAGTAATAGAACCTGTAGGATGGCAAGCATTGTGGAAAATACCACGTTTAGTCTGCGAAGATTTTCAAGTTCACTATCCCACCATAGTGGTGGTAGAAGTTGAGCAAGTAGATTTTGCAGACTTATCGGCATTGGTTAAAATTACTGCTGTTCAAGATGAAATTCATCTACCTGAAAAGTATGACGTACAGCTGGTAGAGCTTTATCCAACTCATAATCAAGAAAACGATGCCTTAGATGTGGTAGGCACTGCGAGCTGCATCGATCAGTTACGATTTTTCTACAGTTATTTGTGGATGCCATGGGACATAGATGATGATGATAATACTGATTGGGTGTCTGTACATTTAGAAACAAGAATACGGTTGTTCTTTGATATGAAACGAGGTGTAGTCAGTAAAGAAACTAGTGACATTATTAGGAGTTTAGTAAGGGAAGGACGAGAAGTTCAGCAGAAGATATCAAAATTAGAAGACACTATTTCCGAAGGAGAAGAATCACATGAAGATGTTGATGGGGGAACAGCATGTCAGCTGATGAAACTTCACTTTAGGTTGCAGCAAATTAAGAGAGAAGTAGAAGTTCTTGAAAATCCTGCTATGAGAGAAATCCTTGTGAAGAATCGAAATTCATCCTTAAATAATGACCAAATACAGAGGCGCCATAGCAAAGAAAAATCCACAGAAGGTTATTTTGTGTGGCTAGGTGGTACTCTAGAAGAAATGAAGGAAACAATAAGTAAAATTCAAGCTTCTTTGTCTGCAGACTTACATTTTAAGTATGTTAATAAGTACAAAGTCTGCTATAATTAAAATAATTAAATAAATTTAATTAAATGATGCTTGTTTAGCTTTTTTATATATATGTACCAGTAATTTATTAATTAAATATTTTCTACTTAGAATATCTGGATCCTTACAAGAGACTCTGCATACCAGTGATGCTGGAGATGTGATTGTAATTGGAGAAGGAACTCATCTGATAAATGGTGCTGGTAATTTGGAAGAAGGAGGTACAATTAAGGGAGTTCATAACGTAGAACGCACCATTCTTTCTATGAAAGATACCGAAACGGTGCCATCGTTGCTCGACTTCTCCGGTAGCGAAGTAAGCCACTTTTTAGAAACAATTCTACAATAATATTAATTCAGGTTTCCTTAAAAATGTACTTTTATAGGTTTTATTAGAAAGTATTACAATAGATGTGGGTGATCTCAGGGCTGGTGTAATAGTTAGAGCTGGGACTACTAAAATAGTTAATTGTAAAATATGTGCCATGAATCAGAGTATAGTCAAACTAGGAGTTGCTGTTTTACCTAATGCGAAACTGATAATAGAAAACACAGTTTTTGATGGTCTTGGAACTGCTTCAGTTATTTACAGTAATGGAGAAATACTTATGAATAACTGTAGTTTCAAAAATTGTGCTGAGGGTATACAGGTGTGTTATTTATTTCTACATTATCATGTGCAACTATAAATTTGACAATACTATAATATGGTTTGTTTAGCTCCACGACAATACGACATTGATAGCGAGGAATTGTTTTCTGGGAGAGTTTAAGGAGTACGCTATTCGATTGGAAACGCAGAAATATTTACATAGTTCGGAAAGCATATGCGGTGGCCCAGAATTATTACAAAATATACCTGAAATCTCGTTGAACGATTGCAAATTCGGAGCCAACGGCAAAGGACATGTTATATTAAAACCTAGGACAGCGTTCTCTGTAATGACGAAACAAGACGGAACCACAAATATGGAGTCTTGAAGTAATTTGATCAGTCAAAAATTTTCTATTTTTATTATGAAAGTCCATGTAACTATGATACTCTTACTGAAATATAAGAATTTTGTATTTTCTTTACGTGAAAATCTGCAAGATTTACATTGGACAGGTTCTACACGAATCTAGAAATCCCCTAAATTTTTAATCACGACTTAAACCCTGGTAAGAATCAAAATTAAAAAAGATCAATCTTTGAGAGTTGAGCAAGATACGCGGGAATTCTTTTAAAATTTCGTTTAAACGATCAACTCGCTGCCGATAGATAGCAGCACTGTGTAGAATCGTAGATCGTTGTTTTGTGTTACGTCTTGAGATGAGAAGAGGAATGCGGAAAAAAGAAATGTGTTCAGTTTAATCTGTAGTTATTTTATTATAAAATAGGAAATTTGTGACAAACAATTGAGGTGGGATCGGCTCGTGATCTTACCCCAGTCATTTACATGTACTATAGCGCAACAGACAATGAGTTGTCGCTATATTCCAAATTATATAGTCTATGGTTGAACGATTTTTAGGTATATAGTAATTTTCTCAACTTTACAAATGTTTTATAGGAAAACTTCTTATAGTATTAACTTTTACAATATGTTACCGAGAGTTATGCAGGAAACTTCCTTGCTCAAGCGTTCCCAAAGGCTGCTATACTCGTTTTGTCTGAATGGTTTGGCGAGCAAATATTTTATCATTACCGGATACTCCGGTGTCATGAGCACCTGCTTATCTTGCCAATGGGAACGTCTGACATCTCATTGCTGTCGTAGCCGAACGTTTGATTATAATAAGCTAAATAAGTGTAAAGAAAATAATATAAGTGACAAGGATGGTTGCATATGGCAAATGTCACTAATAAGAGTAAGTGAGATATTATGAGTGACAAGGACGGTCGCATATGGCGATCGTCACACTTGCACGTTTTGTAATTCAGAAGTGTAACGTTTAACCCCAAACATAACGTGTTTACTCGATGTGGTCATTCTATGCACGTGAATTACTGTCATTGATTTCAGAAGCGTCGTTTGTAAGCTTTTCATTATGTATTCTTCGTTCGTCACATTCAAACGATCTTACGCTGACGATCCAAGCTTGTTTTCTAACCTCATGAGGTTCCTTCAATATTTTCATGATTTTTCTGTCAGTAACATTAGTGTTTGATAGTTTCATACGTATGACTTAACGATTCTGTTTAGTATTAATGTAACGTTTGTTTGGAGAAGATGTTACCTTCGGAAATATTTTAACGTGCATGCCGGGAAACCTAACCTACAAACATATTAGCATTTAAAGGAGCATCACATATACATGCCTACATCTGTGTGTGTAATGAGTGCGTGCGAACGTGTGGATTGGATATACATATACACCAGTGTCTAAAAGTTTTCTGGACAATTATTTTTCAGTCTTTCTGCCGTCATAAATTAATATTTCTGTTATCGTTACACTTCAATTATTATTTATCCGTTGGTCAAATATCATCTTTGTTTTCCTTTTCCAAAGCAAAGCTATCAAAGCAACTTGTTGGTAACTCTCGCACGTTACCGCATATGTAGCTTTCTATGTGTATAGAAAGAGATAACGCCACACGTGTACAGTGCATCGCCGTGACGTAAACGATAATTCGATCCATACCGTTCTCATCGCCGTATTTGTTTAAGATCGTAGCTTGTTCATGTCTATAAATGACGCCACAAGTATCTGGCCATATGGTTGTATCACGTGTACACATATGAATGAAGTATCGCGATTTAAAAGCTCGCACTTTCGATGATGGATGGAAATACTTCACTATCATTATCGTTTATTAGTTTCCTGGCTATATCGAGATCATTAACCTTCTCAAATGCAACTGTATCCATACTATTTTTTAGTTATAGTTAGAGCTAGTTATCTATATATAGTTATCTGTAAATAGTTAAAATAACTACAAATATTAGAATACCTATCAGTCTTTCACGTCCATTATATGACATACAAAATTCTTATCTTTTTACAAATTCTGATTTTTTCTTCTCTTAAATAGACAATAATTGATATAATTAGCTTACTCGTATACAATTATTAAAATTCATTCTAGTCTTTAAACAAGTTTTATAAATTTATATATAACCGCTTCCGGTTGTAATTCTTGGTCTCTTCGGTAACAAAATTGTCACAATAATACATACATACAATTATGAAACATTAGTAAGAGGAATTGGAAAATACTAACACGTACGAGACTAAAAATGAGTTTAATAATTGGAGACGAGTCATCGTTATGTAAATTACTATTAAATACAACATTGTACATATTATTACTAACTATATAGTTATTGTAATAATATATTAAAGTAGGAACACTAAAGCATGGAAACGTTCCATTTATAATTACAGAAGATAGCAATTGAAAAGATTTCCTTGGTTCGATATACGTTACGATACACGGTTTACAAGATCGCCGCCATGGTGGAGCCGTCGGATTGCATCTTCGTCTTCAAGGACACACAGACGGACTTCGAGGACCCAGCATCTGATGTCGAGGTGAGTCCACGAATTCATCTCTCTTTCCATGTATACAGGGTGTCCCAAAAATGTTGTAACACCTTGAAAAAGGTGATTTGGGAGGTGATTTGAAACAATTTTTTCCTTAGCGAAAATGTTGTCCGAGGCTTCGTTGAGGAGATATTAAAGGAAAACACTGACCAATCAAAGCGCGCGGTTACCGTTAGAGCGGCCGCGGTAGCGAAGGCTATGTGCTAAGCGGCCGCGCTTGTACGCGAACAAGCGACTCGACGTGCATCGAAGGACATTGGACGCGGCCGCTTAGCTCGTAGCCTTCGCCACCGCGGCCGCTCCAACGGTATACGCGCGCTCTGATTGGTCGGGGTTTTTTGTTAATATCTCTTCAACGAAGCCTCAGACAATATTTTCGCTAAGGAAAAAGTTGTTTCAAATCACCTTCCGAATCACCCATTTCAAGGAACTGCAACATTTTTGGGACACCATGTATGTTATGTATTTGGTAAACGTATTTGACGAACGCCTTTAGGCGTCTTCTTCATGGTTGTATTAGTAAGATCAATCTAGGAGATACCTCGAGGTCTGTTGTCGTCAATAAATGCTCCGACTATATAACAGTTACAGATTTCCCGAAGTATCTTTGTGTATAAAATGCAACGTTTAAATTAATCACAACCCTTTGGTGCATTTTCACGAGGCAACTTCTCTCGACCTGTTACTTTCACCGTGCAGCGAAGCCTACATTCTCCTCTCGTAAGAACGGCCCACGCGGATGATACGATTAAAAATTACATCAGATGGGAGAGAAAGGGAGAGGTTTCGCGATGGCACCACGTGGATCTCGTAAATCTCGTCGTTGCACTGCCGTTTATCGACCAATACTGCATTCCACGTCGGTCGCGAATAAAATTATTCCAATAGCAACATTTATATGTATAGAACCTCCATTATGAGAACACCCGTTATGTGAACATCCTATCCTATTTTTACAATACCATATGTGCATAAACATACAAGTGTCTATATATTCCTTTCAAGCAGTATGAAATTTATTTTTTTAATTTTATTTAAGAGAAAAAGAATCAAACAATATCTTTTCATATCATTTCATTTTATCTTAAGTGTTAAGTAAAATGAGTGCCAGTCACTTCTTGTTCTGTTACTTAAAAATTCTCTTGTCTGAACAATTTTGTCTACTAATTACTTAAAATAACGAAGGTTTTACTGTATTCAATTGCCCAGTTATTCGAATTTCATTCGTTCCATTCGAATATCCGACAAATGTTCGATTTGTCTATTCAAGTAGCTCTAAACCCACTCTCTACACGGTCGAAAATTTGTTAGTGGCTCGAGGAAACGGTCACGAGCAGAAAGGATTAAGTGCAAAAGCCGTAATCGCGACTTTAATGAGTCGCGTTGATTTAGAGCTCGTCTACGCAATAAAAAACCGGTCCATCATTCTTTTCTCGCCGCTTGGCTAAAGACCGTCCGAAATGACGTGCTGCAAATGAAAAAAAAAAAGAACAAGAGGGCGAGTCTCATAACGCATCCGCCCGACGCTTTTGACCAGGCGTGGAGCCGCAAGTTATTTGCGGTCTCTTCCGGAATGACTGATCGTTCTCTTGTCGTGCATTCGTTCACTCTCGTTCTTCTCCTCCCTCCCCAACTTCTCTCTCTCTCTCTCTCTCTCTCTCTCTCTCTCTCTCTCTCTCTCTCTCTCTCTCTCCCCATTATCCCCATTAATTATACTTTTAATTCATTTTTCGGATTATAGGAATGTTTTAATCTTTGTGAATTGGAAAATGACTTCCAAAGACAATTTGATGAAGTTTGGTGAATAAATTATTTATTTGGTTAAAGATTATAAATATTTTGTATCATTTAACGATTGACGAAAATTTTGTTTCTATAACGAGTTCAGATAAATAAAGTTCTACTGAATTTTAGTATAGAGTCAAAAAAACCAAATCGCTCACACTATCGTATAGCAGCTGAGGAATTAATCCTAGTCCCTCACTAATACCTCGTAGACCATCTTTTCTAAACCTTTTTTTACATGTGATATATTTACGAAAGTCTAATATTTCTATAGCATATTTTTTTCGAGCTGGTATTGTAATGACATTTTGTAGTAATTTGTGTTATATTTAAATTAGATAACACTTTCAATTTTAATTATACGTTTCGATCTCGTTTCACTCGTCTACGGTTCTTTATTCATTTATTGTCCCCTTGCCTGTTTTAATTCGTCCCGGAGTTCTCCCGTCCCACAGTTCTTGCATTCAACTTGAGCTCATTTAGAGTCTCCACGCTGCTTCGAACGACTCTGATCAGGATTTATATTTTTCTATTAGGTACAGTGCTACTGTAACGTTGGAATGAACGGTTAAAACGATCCTCAAGTCTTAATAGTGGAAACTTGTGCCTGGTACTCTGTAGAATACAATCAGCTAATAGACTCTCTTCTTTCTCTGTTCTTTTCTTTTTAAAATATACATTTTGGAGAAGGAGATTTAAAGAATCAGTTGATATTTTTTTTGGACACCACCATATTAGCAGGAATGTTTAAGAAAAAAATTTAATC